TCTCCGGGTCAAATGCATGGGATTCCAGCCCTCTGAAAGGTATGAGTGCGCAAGAGCAAGACAGAGAACAGACAGATAGAGGGCTGGGGGATAATTCAGGTGCCTTTGAAGTTGCTTAGTGACTGTGAGTTTAAATGTACCGATGCTCTCTGAATACACTTGACAAAATGTGGTTCCTGGGATTATGGGGTCAGGGTCAAAATATTAAAACACAGACACTCAAATACCCCCTTTCCTGTTCATTTTGTTACTCCAGTCATTCAGGATCATTGAATCATTGTGTTGTTACGGGAGAGTCACTTCGACTGGAACACTGAATCAATGAGTTGAACAGCAAACAGCCGTAATCAGATCAGTCCAGTTCACGAATGAATAATTCGGTGTGATTTGTAAACTGATCCAATAGACCTTAGTCAAGATAGACACCTATTTAACATGAAAACTAGACTGTGAGGGATAGACTTACAGTCTTTACTATGGCATGCACTGCATAAAAGTCGTAGATCACGTAACGTTCACAACATACAATCACAACTTTCAAAACTGTTTTATTGGGTTTTTGTCTACTTTGAAAAGATGTTTTTTCAGGTGAACAAAAGTTAGTAATTAGTAAAATCCAGAAAAAAGAAAAGAATGATTTGTTCATGAAACGAACATTGCTATGTCATTTTGGAGTGGGTCTTGATTTCTTCCATTTGAAACAAAGAGGAACTTTTTTTAACGAAAACAAATTAATATAAAGAATTTCTCTCAAAAATTGGAAATTACCTCATCATTTGACAACAGGTTGTTAAAGGGGTCATAGGATGCTACATGCACTTTTATAAGTTGTTTGAACTGAAATGTGTTGGCAGTGTGTGTACACAACCATCCTATAATGATACAAATCCACCCAGTGTTTTTTTTTTAATCTGGTTAAATGTTTTCCCCTTTCTCAAATCGAGCCGATCTCAGATGCCTGTCTGTGTGACATCACACAGATGTAGACAAGAGACTCCGCTTCGTCCACGGTGAAAGTTGATGTATTCCCTGAGCGACCAGCACAGATCAGCTCTAGACATGATGAAGCAGATATTGTCCTCTTTTGGAAGACCAAACAAAGTAGTTTCGTTTTCACAAAGAAGCACAC